CTGGACGCTCCGCACGACCGCCCCTGCCTTCCCCCTCCCCCGCCTTTTTTCTGCCGCCGCGCCGGCCCGCTCGAAAACTGCGCAATCTCGCTCTTTACCAGGGGTTTTCAAGCCGTGCGTCGCGGCTCCCGTGGGCGTTCGCATATATTTATTAAAAATGATCTTTAGATTTGATTTACTTTAATCCTTGTGACATTTATTGAGAAAATATTTTCTTGTGGCAATAATTTTGTTCTATATTAACTTCTTCAATAATTTTGTTATATCATAATACAGTATATTATTTATAATATATTATTTATTTTTCTAATTAAGTGTGGATTAATTAAACTTGGCAAGCTCTTTTCCAATATCCTATTATATCACTAAAACATTTGTGTTGAATATTTAGTAGACCTTGTATTTAAACTTATATTTAATTTTAGATTTTAAACTTATGCTCTTATATTTAAGTTATTGTGACTTGGGGAACCGGGGAAGTTTCGTTTAGGTCAAGAAAACCGTGGATGAAAATAGTTTGAAAACCCCTGTCCCAGACGCTACAAGCTAGACAGTCGCCAGGGCTGGCCAAGCTTTCTGGAACCCGCAATTAAGATATCTGCCACTCGCAGCAAGATAATGATATTGTTTTTTTTCTGAACAGGTTCTTTGATTTATGCTATAGATCTAACTAACCTAGTGCAAGCTATTCTATTGCTGCGGGGCTACATTATACGGATTTTGAATATTTTCAAGATTTTTTTTGGAACAAAATTTTGGAATATTCAATCCTATTCTTTCCAAAGCTACCTTGTGGGTTGTTATTATTTTGCTGCGAGAGTAGATATGGTTTGTATAATTTGTTTTCAGACCGCTCTCCGCCCACCTCTGAGTACTGTGGCTTAAATCTAAGGCCGATCCATGAGGATATTCAAGTGAAAAAGGGGGGTTTGCAGCATGTTTTTCTGAAGGAAGGGGGAGTTCCTGTTTTTTCTTTCGTTACACCACAATTCAATAATCTTTCAAATTATATCCAAATCATCAGTCATTTATAATACACTCAACAAACTCATTCATATCAGGCATGATCGATCAATCTCCGATATTGAGAATCCTAATAAAGATAATGCATCCACCCGCACTTCCTACGCCTTCCTCGTTTCGAGTCACTGCAAGAGTCTCTTCTGTCGACGCCGTGAAGATCTGATATTGTCATTCGTCCAGCGTTGACAAAACACATGTCATCTACATGTACCTGCGTACACCAGAGGTGTATCAACTGGATACGCTGTTCTTTCAGTACCCTCTCTCATAAAAACGGTGTTGTACAATAAAATAAAAGAATATAACGGTTAGTTGTCATAAGCAATACTCAACGCAGTAGCACAAGGCGGAAACTGTCCAGAACAAGAACTTTTTCTTCCGCCGCCCGCGCCGCCGCCGTATTTGAAGACGTAGTGGGGGGAGCGCCCGTGGCTGAATATAGGCGCGTCCGGCGCGTCTAACAAGGCGAAGACCGGGGAGGCGAAGGCGGTCGGGAGTTGACGTGTGCGCGCCGTACACCACCCGCGCGTCCGCCTCGTGCGACCAGTGGCGGTCCGATAAGGCGAAAGAAGTGCGCGGAAGGCGCTAGGCGGGGGCCGGCGGACTTGGGGGCGGGGCGGCGGCGGCGGCGGAAGGCCCAAGGCGGTCGATAGCGCTCGCCGCAACATGGCTGCCGGCGCTGGGGGCCCCGCTGCTGCCAACCGCACGGCACCAAAGGCACGTACAAACAGCTGAGGGCTTCCGAGATGGAAATAAGCTTTTGGTGTTGGCCAGTCAACTACGTATACGGTAAAGGGAAATAACTTTTTTTTTTTTTAAATTTGCAGAAGGATGTACATGGGCGTGCTAAAAAAATATTTTAATGAAATTAAGTGAATCAACATTGCGATAAATTGAAAATCTTTGTGAAATTTATTTAATGCATAATCTTCCAAAAAAAAAAAAAAAAAAAAAAAAAAAAAAAAAAAAAAAAAAAAACGTTAGAAAGAGGCAATCAAAAAAGAGACTACCACTCTTTGCTTCCTTATCCTTTTCCATTAACATATTCTTTAAGTTTATAAAACTACATTATTTAGGTGTTTCTTGAATATGATTACATGTATACAGCTTCAATGTGATATAGTATGATCTGAAATTTATGTTATAAAAAATAGGGAAATCCCAGAAGCAACTTCGATACCAAGAAAGAAAACAATAGTTCTGCATCATACGTAGTTATTTAGATATGACATTTGGAAATTCTTCTGTGATTGGTACGAACAATTTATATCTGGCAGTGTTATAATTATATAATATGTAGTGTAATAACGGGAACATAAAGAGTATTAAATCTCTTCATTTGATAATATCCGTACAATGCAATATTAAAACAACATAACAATGGTAAATACATTTCCATTCACTCTTAAGTTTCGATTTTCAGAGGTACACTAATATGGGTATAAAGTCCCGAAAAAAGGATTCTGGAATCGTTATGAGTTTGGTCTACAGTATAGCATAAAGTGTCTTTATGTTGACGCAGCAGAAAATGTTTGTGACGCGGTGAATATAATTAAGGTGATTGTCAGTGCGCTCCTAACGTTTTTGTTTCTCTTGTATGATAATTTAACGACTAATCGACACCGGTGCGTTAGTGTTTCTCATTTGTACTAATTCACAGCCTCTTCTCCAGGGCCAAACACCTGCAGGAGCCCTAGACGTGGAGTATTCTGGGGGATTTCCCTATCAGAGATAAAAATCTGAATGCAAAAAGTTTCGTTCTAATGAATGATTTGTTTTTATTTAATGCTCATTGTTGAGAAAAGATACATTAGGAAGTAGAGCTCTCAATGTAAACATGATCTTCAATTAAAAGCACTTCTTTCCCAGAGATGGACGATGAAATGATGAAAATTTGAAATGGAACTTTGTAGTACTTGTTGACAGGGGCCAAGAGCATTCGTTTAAAAAATAAAACTCTGAAAAAGTAGTATTTTACGTACTCATGTGCATATTCATAATTTGTGTCTTTCTTGATATAGGATCTCAAACAAGTTTTATATACATGGAAATCATTGTAATTTTTTCCACTGGACAACGTATTGTGTGTGGTTCCACTGGACAACTCAATATGTGGTCTTGTAAGTTGCGACTTGTAGCTGCAATAGAAATTATTCTAAGATATGAACGCTTTGATTTTTCATTATTCAGAATCGTTTTTGTATAAGGTTTTGTATAAACTTTGGTAACTCCTTGACTTGAACTTGTGTCACAATTGACTCTAATTGTATTTCGCGAATGTTACTAAGGTTGGTAGTTTGCGTAAGCGGGGTTGCTATTGATTGTGCATATGTGAGAAGTTCAGTTGTCATACTACCTGATTTTTTCTTTTTTCAATTTCTTTTACATTAAGTTTATTAATAGTAACTTATTTGCATTAGTTCGTAATGTTATTTTTTGTTACTTTAACTTGTTTACGTGGCGAGATTCTGTATTTTACAATACAATAATGTTACATAACAGTTCTGTTCAGAGATTTCTACATTAATTTTATAGATTTTTAATTTATTTCATGTTCTTAAAGAGTTTCTTTCAAGACTATTCACAATATATAAATATGCCTTGGGATATTAATTGAATTTAGAATTAAATTCATTGAAATGAAATAATGTCCAAATTTCAAACATCGATATTCAAAATACTTCGACCCAAAACTATCAATTATTTTAAACATCTGTTTTTTTAACTATTTTCGTAATCTCTAACCTCAGTGTTCACATAGTGGCGGGGGGGGGAGGTGACTTCATTTCACAGTGACGGTGTTTAGTGATTTATTAATTTAGAGATAAAGCTGCGAAAAAATAAAAAAAAGTAGAGGAACAATAAACATTTTTATTATTTGGTTGGATAATGTAAAAATAATATACCACGTTTATCAACAACAATTCCACTATCGTATTTTTTTAAATTCTTGGTCACTTTGACCTGACGAATGTTAAATTTATGAATATCTGAAAATTATTGTATGCAGTTTTTATTATTGTACTTTTTCATTTAAAAATTAAGTATGAATGACAAAAAACATCGACGTTAAAAAACATCGGTTTCAATAAATAAATGTTTAATACATCCGTGTTTTTATGAAATGATCGATGTTTTGAAAACCTCATCGTTGACAATCCTTCAGTGCCGTAGTTGGGGGAGGGGGGGGGCAGAGGGGCCGGCCCGCCCTGGGTGACACCATCTTAATGGTGCACCAATAAGCAAATTTTATAGTTGGAATTATATAATAGTAATGGTGTATATAAAAATTGTATGTTTATTAATTTAATAGTTATACATTTAAATCATAAATACTAAGAAAGCAAAAAAAAAAAAAAAAACCTCAAATCTCGCCCTCAAGTCTAGAAAAGGGTTTATATAAATAAAATGTTTTTGTTAATTAATTGTACTTCGGATTATTTTTTAAAAGCTATATTTAAATGTTTCTGAATTATATACACATTTTAATACATTACAAATAAATGACATGTCCAATTCAATTTTTATTAAAGTATAAACTATTATGTAATACTATTAGTTTTGCCCTGCGTGATATCAACATAAGATACGCCACTGGTGTCCCAACTACATTTCGATTTTTCTATAGTGACCGACGACATTAGAAGATTGTTACATTTCCTCTCTTATAAAATGAATAGTTTAAATTAATTTTCAAACGTCCTCAACTGTGTCTGTGGCTTCAGAAATGTGCTTCCCACTGTTAAAAATATCCATTTTATAAGGCAGGAGGTTCAACAAAGATCCAAAGTCTTCGGCCACTATAAGAAAGATTGGAGTGTAGGTGACGAGCGTGGCGGGCGTTGGCGCGGAGGTTGGCAGCGGTGCTGATCGTGGGGCGGGCGGCGCGTGTTGCAGGCGCGGCGGCGGCGGCCCGCGCCAGCCAGAGCCCGGCCACCGGCACGGGCGCCAGCGTCGTGGCCAGCGGGACGGGCGCCATGGACGACGGCGGCGGGGGCGGGCGTGCGGCGTCGCCCGCGCTGCTGCTGGGCTCGTCGCCCGGCGCGGCCCACGCCCACGCGCACGCCCTCGCCCTCGCCCTGGAGCGCGACTGCAACTCCAACGCTGCCGGCAGCTTCGCCAGCGAGAGCGCCTCGCTGCCCGACGCGGACTTCGTGCAGGAGTGCCAGGACTACCAGTGGTTCCTCGACTACGGGTGAGTGCTTTCTTTCCCGACTGCAGCCACCGCTGTGCGTCGACAGGGAGTGGGTGTTTTGTGCGTGTCAGTGATCAAAGGGATGAGAATGCGAAGCATCTACAGTGTGTCAGGAATGTCACTGGATCCTCGTGTACGTGTGAGTACTTTCTTCGTGTCTCTTGTATAGCGTGTTTCTATGCCAGTGAACGTATGTCAGGGCTGCCAGCGGTCTTCAAGAAAGGACGAGTGTTCTGCTCTTGCCGTTATCAAAGAGTTGTCAATGTGTGACAGTGGAGGTATGACAGGATAGCCCGTGCTCAACCATTAAGTGTTGCTGTGCTTGGAGAAAGTGGTGTGGCTGTATTAGTGGAGGTGACAGGTCTGCCACTCTTACCTTGAGTATGGAGGAGCACTATTGTGTATGACCAAAGAGTTGTTTTTATGTTTGGAGTAAAGTTTTGAGGGTGATTGTGAGGTTGTTCCACGACTGCATATGAGTATTCCATTGTGTTTGTGAGATGTTTACCGAGATAGCGCATGAAAGATGTCTTTTGGTGATGCGATGTATCTCAATGTCACGGGATGATGCCTAATAGTATTTCGTCGAAAGCTTTTATTGCCCTTGATAAGCACATTTGACAAGCTATAATGTTTCGTGTGAAATATGTCCCTCTTTGACGGGACGTTCGAATTGTTCTGAATTACGTTTGGATTGTGCTTGCAATGTTACGTTTTGTTGACAAAATATTTGCTCCTTGTAACTCAAGTTAACACACTCGTTCTTCTTTAGCGTTGTCTCAAATTGAAAACTGTTGATTTACTTTGCGCAGAGCAACTAGAGTTCTAGTCTGAAATTAATAGTGACGATATTATGTTGAAAACAAAAGCACATATGAAATCGATAGAAATGTCGAAATCACGTGTTTCATGTAGGTCACAGGGTTTTTGTCATCTTTTTTTCGAGAATGGAAAATGTACAAACATACATTATCTGCCAATAGAAATCAGTATAATAGCACAAAAAATGCTCATGATATGAAATAATGCGAGTTTTCCTGTACGCGTGTTCGTTTATAGCTTTTCAGGCGGTATGCCTATTTGTATGTAGAATAACGGTAGGGGTCTTAGTACGAAGGTTTGTTGTCGTCGGATGAATGTCTAGGACTGTATGTTCACGTGTGGGAGAGTCTGATAACTGAGAAGATACCCAGAACTACCGGTTCCTGTACAAAGAAAGAATGTTGTTATATTGTCAACGTTCTGTCGTGTACGAGAGTGGTGTGTCCAAAGCAGTACGTTTTTGTTTCTGCTAGTTACAGAACTGTCGGTTTTTCAAGTGTCATGGGAAAGGTCGTGAAATCTTTTTCCTAGAAGTGTAAACATTGACCCAACTTCCACAGGATTATTCCCGACCACTGAGTGAGGATTATCCAAATGCTAGCTGTCACAGCTGCTCGAGGAAGTCTCATTGTGTCTGTGATGTTTGTGTACGTGCTGGATTGTTGCTAGCTCTCCAACAACGTAAGGGATATCTTCACGAGATCAGCGAGTGACCATGAATGTGTGTGCGACATGTGAGCGTTGCATGCCAATGTGAGGTTCTCAGAAGCGTGTGGCATTTTCGCGAGTGCAGCAGAGGATTTCCGAGACCTGATGGGTGCATGCAATGTGGGTGTGCGCGAGGACTTGTGTGTAGTCCCTTTAAAGGGCTACCTAGGAAGCACTAACCTGCACCAAGGAAGATAGAAACTTCGAGTAGAATGTGTGTGCCAGTGTCAGTGCGCGAGAGTAAGGTAGGGTTCTGTCGCGCATGCGTCGTATTATCCGCACACGTTGTTTTGAGCCCTCGTTCCGCTAGGTGCCAGAGGAGTATGGGGCTACGTTATTTCGTCGGCAGGACTGTAATATCGAAGTTCAAGCTCGCTTGTGTAGTTTCTATTACACGTGAACCAATATTTCTAGTTATCGGATTTTGAATGTATTTGTGTGTGTGGGTGGGGGTGGGGGCAGAAATTATGCCTATGAAAATTTATTGTATCAAAAGATTGATATTTTGGCGTAAGTGATTCATATTATGATCTGCTAATCCATAACGACGTGGGTGTAGTTGGTAAATGTTCCTGATTGCTTTGTGAAATACTGTGATATATATAGTGGAACTTGATAATTAGGAGGAATATGAAATTCGAGTTACCTATATATTCGACATATTGAGGTTATAGTTGCTGAATTTCTTCTGCCTAAAGAAGGGGTGGAAGAAGCAGACAACTTGAGATATCAAACTATTTACGTTGCAAGGGTTCTCTTGTATAAATATATAGATTAGTGAGTTGCCACACAAATGATATATTATTCGAACTGCAAGAGGACAACGCAGGATGCAAAATTCTGCAAGGTAGAGCAAGTGGTAGGTGATGCACAGTAGCTTGGCGATCGCTTTGACTGCTCCCTGGTCCTGTACATAAACCGTTACCGATAATGTGAAAAACGTGAAAATCTGTGCTGACGATTGTAAATACCTCCCTGGACCTCTGAAGGCTCTGTGCTTGCGATGTATTGGCTTCGATTCTCGTGACTAGAGGAGATCGAACCTTTCGGTGTATCGAGCGTCGGCGCGGGCTAGAGCTGACCGCTTCGCTACGTGCACGTGGGGCGGGGCGCGTGCACTTGGCAGCCGGGGGCGTCTCAGGGTGCCAATGCAGCTGTGGAGGGCTTTCGAAAGCCGCAGGGAGTTCACGATCGCTCTGCGTGATTGGTGGACCGCCCGGGAAGCGCTAGCGCACAGAGCAGGCCTAGAGCTACAGGTTTCAAAGTCAAATTTAGATTCAAATTGGGAGGCAATTAAACGAAAGTATCATTGAACCCTTTAAGCATGCAAATATTTCGAGTAGCATTGACATGTAGAATTAAAATCATTTTATTCATTTGTGACACTCAGTGGCTTAATTTACCTACAAACTGTCAAGCGATACATTACTCGTATGTTTGATCGTTAATATTGCTGTAATGATAGAAATGGAAACAAAATATTTGCTGTGCTTCTTCCCGTCCTATACCCGTATCTACCCACCCGCCTTTTAAAAGAACACGATATATTTCTTTATTTCCTCAACAGGCATAGACATTCTAAACGAAACATAAGCAAGTTTTGGAATTCCTGAAAGCGAGCTAGTTTGCGTGCATGCTCAAGTAATGTACGGCTCTGGCCAGGGTGTTTTGCTCGATAAGTTGGCGAATCTCCTTCTAAAACCGTGGTTAACTGTTATATGTCACTGGTTTAGTTCGGGAGACACCGGTGAAAAGCACACGGTAGTTGCAAGCAGCGAAGTTCACGCGAAGTTGAAGCTGGTAGCGCTAAGTATAATTTAGCGACATGAAACTTGTTTAGCTCTAAAAGTTGCAAACATGCTACCAGGGAACTTCAACAATGACTGCGTGCTCGGACGTGACGACAATTACCTTGCACCCAAAATTATGATGAGCATGAATGGATTAAGTTAAGCTACATTTGCGGGCGATATTCGTGAGTTTGCTTTCAGGAAAGGAGAAAATGATTTAATAAATAACGGAACATGTAATTAAACTAATGATTTATTACGTCGGGTGTTTGTCATCTGCTCCTCTTTCATTGGTTAGTAAACAATCCACCAACGAATATTTAGGATGTTAGACAAATAGGAATTGCGTAACGTGTTACAAATGCATTTATGACGTCAGTGCTGTTACAAGCAATGGATGTACTGCGTTGTTTCAGATTTTTTAACCAATTGATATTTTATTGAAGAGTAAATTTGTCTTGCCTTTAATTTTTTTTCATTATGAAACTGTGATCAAGAAAGTAAATGATTTATTTTATTCAATACTGTTCTTCGTGAAAAATTGGACATGTCATAAATAGTTTGATTGAAAATTGAAATAATAAAAACCTCTGATTTCCATCGTCCACTTCACTTCGCTTTTCGTTAGAAGCCTACTTACGAATAATAATCTTCCCACAGCAATACTTGCACTGTACAACAGTATTCTCAAAAACTATAAACAAAGTTATTGTATTCACTATATCATTTCTTTTGAAGGTTGATGTCATAACTAGTCAACGTGACGGTGTGACGTCATTCTACCCACTTTTTCCGAGTCATCATAACCACGCAAAAAGTGTAACGTAACAAAACTATAACCTATCGAATTGTTGAAAATCAAATGATATTTTTACTACCTCGTATTTCGAACGACGATCACGGGAATTTTATGTGATACACATACAGGGATCGATATTAATATCAATGGAGATATTTCCTGATTTCGAGCAGATAACTGCTCTCGTGAAAAATCGTAGAGTATTTTGAAGACATATTGATGACTGAACAGTCACTTCCTTTCAAAAGCCCGTTGCAAATACAGTATCTCGGTTAATTTTATTTTTTTCGTGTAAAAGCTGATAGAGACGTAAGTGCCATGAAAATCTTTGCATTCCGAGAGGGCCGTACAAAAACTTCCATGAGTGAAACAAGTACATAATGTCTCATTGATATAAGACCAACTAAAAAAGAAATAGAACACAGAAAACTATTAAGATAAAATTGCAGAGACGAATGATTTGTACGTCTAAAAAAGAAAAAGAACTACACAAGTATTATCAGAGGAGGGACATGCGAGAGATAGCCGAGAGTATGTAATAAGAGTAAATAGGAATTTGCCTAAAAATTCGAAGTCTACTCACTTATTGTTGCCTGAAACTCTTTCAATAATGAATACATTTGGACGGAGGTTTTGTCTTGTGAGTCTGGTGATGTCGGGGTCGGGGCCGGCGCCCGACGATGGCCGCTGAAGGTCGGGCGATAGCAGCCTTGAGTTGCCCGATCACCGCGTTGGAGATAGCTGAAAAGACAACAGGGAGGGGGGGGTGAGATTTCGACACCTCGGCGTTGGCTGTGGCTAGAGCGAATGATTCCGAATAATGAATGCCACGAGGATATAATGCATTTATTTTTATTTTATTTTGACACGTTTGATATCTC